CAAACCAGAAAAATTCATGACAGAAGAGGAACTTAATAAAGTAAAAGAAGCCATCACCGTCCTCGAACCATTTGAACTGACCACTAGAGAAATTAGCTCTGAGAAGTACCCAACGGCTTCAAAGATAATTCCTTTAGTAGACAATCTAGAAAGAATCATGAGGCAAACCAAAGGTGATCTGGCGGCTCAGCTGAGATCTGGGATACTATCAAGATTCGCCGATGCAGAGGAGCGATTCTTATGGGCAGCAGCGACGTTTATTGACCCCAGGTTCAAGAAGCATGGTTTCCGCAACCCTGACAACGCGCAAGTCATCAAGGACAGACTGATGAGCCGAATGAGACCAGCTGCAGTGGTAGAGGAGGAGCCAGAACAAGAGACAGGCGAAGGAGCACAGGGCAGCAGCAGTGCCTTTGACAGGCTGTGGACGCACTTTGACTCCAAGATCAAAGACGTTAAGAAGTCGACTACCTCTGCCCTCATGGGCCCACATATTGAGTTGCGCAGGCACCTGGAAGGAGATTTGCTTCCTCGGCAACAAAGTCCACTTCTGTGGTGGAAGCAAAATTGCGGACTCTTTCCCCAGCTGCAGGAGCAAGCCATGAAATTTTTATCCTGCCCTGCCACAAGTGTCTCATCTGAGAGACTATTTTCAAAAGCTGGGGAGCTTGTGTCGCAGAGACGTGCTAACCTTAAGGACACCACAATCAACATGGTGCTTTTCTTAAATAAGAATTTAAAATTTTAAATGCTTTTCTCTTGTGCGGTTGATTTGGTATGACTGGAGTTTGAATGAGTAAACCTTAAATTTTGTCCATTTTTTAATGTCCATTTGGTGTGAATGAGGTGCCCTGACCTTGTCAGTGCTGCCAGGATGAATGAAAAGCTTTCTGTTTTTTTAAGGATGGAAACTTAATTTACTGAACTGCATCAACGAAAGAAATAAAAAAAAAAACACCAAAAAAACACCCAAAAAAAAACAACAAAAAACTAAAGTAAAAAAAAAGAGACTCGCATCATAGCGCACTGTGCAACTAGCCTATTATTAGTATTATCCTCGCACCTGAAAGCGGCTGTCAACGAGGGGCAAATAACTTTCAAAACAAACTGGTGCCCTCCCCTGATGTCAATGAAAACATTGCGTTCCTCAATCCCGACCTCTGTGACCTCTTCCCTGCTCCTTCCCCCTCCCCGCCCCCTTTGTCTGCACCGGTCCGTGGCGTCGGGGTTCTCTACAGCGTGTTCGACTCGACGGATGTAGGGAGAACGACTTGACTTGACACGAATCCCACCGAATTGACCTTGCCTTTCCTCAAATTTGATTGGCTGCTATCTTGACCTGAATTCGGATTCGGAGTCGAAGTCGACGAATTCGCGCCCAAAAATGTTCGGAGTCGAAAGTTCGGAAGTTCTCGGAGTCGGCCCACCCTTATTGGCCAGTTCTCTGATTGCGCTAGGCCTATGCCGCAGAAAGCTAGGCCTAGGCCCCGCTAGACGCGACGCGCTTCGTTTCGATAAGGCCTCGCCCGGTTATTTTTAGCTCGCGTCTCAGCGGTCACGTTCGCAAATGCACCGTTGTCACGGACCGCGAGGCCTCGTTTCCTGTCTCTATATTTTAGTGTCTCTGCTATAGCAGAAAACTAGGTCTAGATCTACATCTACATCTACATCTACATCTAGATTCTCTAGATCTAGATTCGACAGATCTAATCTAGTCAGTGTCAGTAGTTAGGTCCCTACATAAGAAAAAAAAGTCATCTAGATCTAGATCTGCAGGCTTCCAGCATAATAAAAATATGCCTGCCTTAGCCTAAATATAACTTTGTTCTAGCTTACAACATAAGCAGTTTAATTTGAGATAGCCTAAAAAAGGTTAATACATTTTTACTTATTTTACAAATTAGTTACATAATTATTAGCCATGCATGGGGTCTGTACTGTGGGTAGGGAAGAGTTGGCGAGAAAAGAAAGAGAGCATGCAATAGCATAGGCAATGATGAGGAAAGGCAACAAACTGTAGAAACAGAAAACAGATTTCGTTTTGTGTAGGCTATAGGCATATATGGATAAAAACAGGAATACAATGCGACAGATCGAACCCACCAGAGGCCTATATAATAAATAATATATAACATGAACACGTTACGCATCTTTCATGGATTAATAGCACTTTACTGAAACTGGCTCCTATAAGTGGGTGAATGTGACAGTCTTTCTTACTAATCTTAGACTGCTTTGCCTTTTATGCATTGTCTCTTGCTGATTCTTATGTCCATACTTCTCTGTCAGGCACATAAATTTGGGACATTACAGACTTCAAGGGTGGTCCAGACAGGGTCAATAAGCTAGCACTTCCTTACTTAATTTAAAGTAAGCTTTGTAATTTCTTTGTCTCTTTAATTTTGTTACATGTATTCCGTAGTAGATCTATTACAGCAGGACATTGTCTTCTTAGATGTCAAGGTTTTGTTTTTTCCGCTTTTAATTTCTTCTTCAAAACTCTCACATCACATTGCAGACACTTGATATTTTGTCATGGACAGGGCCTGTATCCTTTGAAACTGGCCTGGAGGGAACAATAATTATTTATTTGGAGTTTGGAGGGTTTGGAACAGTAAACAGCATGGGCACAGCATTCAGCACTAGAATTGTTCAATATGCAAATTTCCAAAGGCAGTACGTACAGTTCAAATTGCTCAGCGCACAGTTGTGACAATTATGCATTTCCATGGTACACGTATAGTGACTTGCTATCTTGAGAACCAAAGTAACGTCAGCCTTTCACCCATTTATTTATTTTTTTTACATCTGAAATATATTATAATTTTTTGGTAGGAGTGCGAAAAACTTAGATTGTAACACAGAGTTTTAAAGGTAGGCCTATACTATAGACCGGTGCTCACAATAAATAATACACTGTGGTGGCCCATATTATTCTCACGTGTGCAGTTAAATGTTGCAAAATTCATAGATCTACATAGAATATAGATCTAGGTCTACTCCTTTAGTTTCGTTTCATAAAAGAGAAAAGTGCTTGATTGATTAACAGTTTTGAATGAGTACATCTACTGGAGATTCAGATCATAAATC